TATATATATCAGAGAGAGAGAGAGAGAGAGAGAGAGAGAGAGAGAGAGAGAGAGAGAGTCAGTGAGCACTCTTAAAAAGGTGATCTCTATCTGGAGTCATATAGGACATACAATTCAAACCAATGTAGTGGATTCCTGGAACTAAAATTGCAGCAAGTGAAAACACAAAAGATACTAAGTTTCTAAGATGAGAGGAGGAGAGCTGGTGGAGCTGATGCAGGCTTCAGGAGGACAACAGTCTGATGATTCCTTCTTGTAGGCGCTGTTTTGATCTTTCCTTTTGGTTTTAGGCAAACTGGAGCACGCTTGGACACAACCTTCTTGTCTTATACCTCTCCGCTATCTTTCAAGTGGACCTTTAAAGCAGGCTTAGTTTGGAATGAGGCATGTGACCTGCACGTCCCACAGAATCCTCATTAACTCCAGGGGGTCATAGCAGTTCCAGAAGGTGTTACTGGGATGATTCAGTTGCCTGTGATCCAGATGTGCTCCCGTGACTCAGGTGTGCTTCCTAATGCCCGAGTCCCTTGATGACAGCTTTCTTTTCCTTCCACTGCAGGAAATGCTGAAGGATGAGGTGAGGACACTCACGTACCGGAACTCCATGTACCATAATAAGCATGTGTTCAAGGACAAAGTGGTGCTGGATGTTGGGAGTGGCACAGGGATCCTCTCCATGTTTGCTGCCAAAGCAGGGGCCAAGAAGGTGTTTGGGGTAAGCATGCTACCCTCCCTTGTTTTGGCTTCCGCAGAGTGGTCTTTGCCTCTGACTTCCTCTGTACCTTCCTACAAAGACCCACCCTGGTCCACTATCTCTTTTTCGAATTTTGTGCTGTGCTGGGGATGGAACCCAGAGCCTTGAGCATGTTAGGCAACTACTGTCCCACCAAGCCACCTCCCCAGCCCCAGTCCATCTCTCTTGCTGGAGGATCAGAGGAGATGAAGCACAGTTCCGTTCTAATACCCTCACTGCTATCACCATCAGCACCACATTGCCATCAAGAGCAGCACCATCACCATCACTGCCACAAGCCTTCCTTGCTTCAGGCTTCCTTCTCTCAAACCTCATCAGCCACGGACCCCTGATGCTACTGATCTCAGTGGTCTTGAGGCCGTCTGGTAATACTACAGTGTCCCTTCAAGGGCAGAGGCCCAGATTAGTGCCAGCCACGCTCGGGCCGAGCAGGGCACAGCAGTCTCTGGCTCCTGAGTCAGGGGGCTACAGCTAAGTTGCTGCCAGGGCTCCTGCTTGGTGCCTCTCAGTGGTAACTTGGCATTGTCTGCCTATTGTAAGTGTCTCTGGCCCTGCCAGGTTTAGCCAGCTTCTTTCCCATGAGCTCATTTCAGTTGTTCCTGTTTCAGGCTTCTCCTTCTACCTCCATCCACTCTGCTGGGAGGGAGGGAGATTGTGGAGGTTAAAGATAGGAAGCTAGACAGGAGCGCAGCAGGAGGTGATCGGAGGCGAGAAACAGAAGCTAGCAAGACTTGGAGGAAAGCTAGAAGAGAGAAAATGGAGTGGAAGGCAAAGAAGAAAGAGCAAGTGATGAAATAGAAGCACAGGGAGGAGAAGGGAAGGGAGACGAGGAATCAAAGTGTATAGCCTGGCCGGTGGGCTCCGCACAGTAGGTGACCCCTGTGTTTGACGTGCTTGGACTCAGGTCACCCTTGAAAGGGACGGCAACCTGTTGCCAAAGGCCTGGGAGGCAGCTAGGACACAGCCAGCTGCCTGTCTGGAGCTTCCGTGTTCTTTAACGCTAACCTCGGGAGCCACATGTATGGGGAGTGGGTGGCACTTTAACAAGAAGGAAGAGAGGACAGAGCTCCGTCCACAGGAGATGGAACCCGAAAGCCAAGGGCCTGATGACCAAGGAAGGGTGGGTCCTCCTGGAACAGAGCGCAGGCAGTGGCATCTGTCCCCTTAGTTATTATTACCTTTCTAACCCCCAAAGGTGGACAGTGGACAAGGCCACCAGAAACACCTCAGGGACCCCCTGCAATGACTTCTAAAGTCCTCCATGTCAGAGAGCCAGGCAAAGTGGCAGAGAGGTCTCCAGAAATGCCCCTCAGCTCCCAGCACCCACAGCACATCCTAAACTACTAGACCCTGGGATGGGTCTGGGCCTCCAACCTTTCCCATGAAGTCTTGCTCTCAGCTGATGGTCAACTTATTTCTCAAAGAATTTTGCCCTTTCTTAGAGATTTGGGGATCCTGAAAAGGCTTCTACACACAAGCGAACAGATTCCATCAAAGGAAGAGTCCACAGAAGGCCGTTGTGAGCCAGCTTTAGTTACTGTAAGAAAATGCCTGAGACAATCAATTTCAAAAGATGAAAGGTTCTGTTTGGCTCACTTCATGGTCACTTGGCTCCTTGGCTTGGGCCTGTGATGAGCCATCACAGTGCCGTGAGAGCACAAGGTAAATGACGGCCTCACTTCCTGGTAGGAAAAGGAAGGAAGGAAGTGAAAGGCTTGCAATCCTAATATCACATTCAAGGACATGCAGCCAATGACCTAACTTCCTCCCACCAAGCTCCCTGTCATAACGGTTTCACCAGGCTACTAACCCCAGCAGGCTGATGACTCCTCCGGGAATTTTGAAGGTCCAGAATTTAGCAGGTGGCTGTGCTTTTTAAATTCCTGTCTCTTTTGTTCTGTGTACTTTCTAGATCGAATGTTCCAGTATTTCTGACTACTCAGAGAAGATCATTAAGGCCAACCACCTGGACAATGGTAAGGCCTACTTCAGAGTCTTTCCCCGTGGTGATGGTGGGATGGGGGCTTGCATTTTCTGGTTCTGGTAATGCAGGGGGGCACAAGAGGGGAGAGCACAGGACGTGTAGTTTGGGAGAGGTACAGATTCTGCTGGAACAGCCAATCACAGAATTGTGGCCATGTAGTGTGGTGTTCCCCTCTTGCTAGTCAGGGGACATCAGCCCCACCCTAGCTGTCAGTCAGCCCTGTCTGTGGCTGAGTCCTGGTCATCGTGTCCTCTGCTGGGCCCAGCTGGAGGCTGTCAAGTCTGTGAGGTGGCAGCTAAAGTTCTTCTTCCTCGCGTTCTCCATACCCTCTCCGTCTTCTTCGGTCACCTGTCCAGGGATATCGGCCAGAATGTCTGCCACAAGCCCTGGTGTTGATGGAGTGTGTGCTCATCGGGCTGATCTGGGGAATGAGGCCTTGATCAGGCTGGGCTCTGATTGCAGGGAGTGATGTGTTCCCTCTCTTCCTATGATCTGTGACATCCCTAGCCCCTTCTCAGTGGCCCATCTTCAGTATGCTCAGACCTGCAAGGGTCCCTGACCAGGCCACCTCCTCATAATTTTTCTCCATCGGCAGGATCGACTATATAGCTGCTAGACCCAATGCTCAGCATTGGGGCACTGAGGACTTTGCATTCCAGGAGCATATCTGGTCCTGGGTGGAGGTGGTGGCGGGAGACCAGAAGCCACATTGTAAGGAATGGGTTGGAATGGAGTCAGGGCTGGCAGAAGCAGTGAGGCTAAACTAGCTGGGTACCGTGGCAAGGTATGGGGGGGGCAAGGTCAAGTCCAAAAGGCAGGATTCCCATGCACAGTTCCAAAGGGTGGGAAGTCTGGCACCTGGAGGGATGGGCATCCCTGAGAGAAATAGGCTGGGTTTACTGGCAGGCCTGGGAGCAGGGTGGACCAGGAGACTGGGACCCTGGGCAGTGAAGAGTTGGCTGGCCTAGCCTTTCCATCTGTAAGACAGAGGATAGAGCCCTGGATGCACCTCCTGCTGTACCCCTGAATTCTTCTGCTCTTTCATAGGCAGCCCAGTGTCCCCATGGGTCTGACCCGAGATAGCAGACGCCATGGAGCCCTTCCACTTCCTACTATGCCCTACTTCGAAGTAGGCCAAAGACCTATTTCAGTGTGGCCTCAGCCTGCCACCTGTGCTGTCTGTGGCTTGACCCACTTGCTGCAGACTCCATGAGAGACAGGAGCATAAATCATTCCACAGACTTTTGTGTGTGTGGCCATGAGCCTGACTCCGGGGACAGAGCCGGGAATACAGATACTATAGAAAGCATCAACCAGTCGGCGTAGAGCACCTGGTCACACTGCTCTTCTGATCATTAGGTGGCAGGGTAGCTGGGGACCTTCCCCTCACGTGAGGTTAGAGCCCTTTCAGGCAGCACATCCAAGCTCCAGTCAGAAAAACGTGAAGCAAGCGGGCTGGCCGAGTGTCTGTTTTCTGTGGCTATAATAAAGTATCTGAGGTGGGAAAATTTATAAAGGAAAGATTTTTGCCTCATCATTCTGGATGCTTGGAAACCCCAGACTGGCTGGATGTATCTGGAAAGAGCCTTGTACCACCTCTCCTCACAGGGGAAGTGTGGGAGGGCAAGGAGGCAAAAAACAAAACAAACAAACAAACAAAAAACCCACTCAACATGATCCATCCTTCCCCTAAGAGTAACACTAATCCATTTGCTGGTACTCTGTTCCCATCACCTGACATTCTGCTGGGTCCCATCTCCCAACACCACCACACTCAGGGTTCAAAGATCCTGCACGTGAACTTTTGAGGCCACACTCAACCAAAGTACCTAAAGTCCAGCGGAGGAGAGCTTTGGGCAGGATTGAACTAGGCAGGCTCACTCAGGAACAAAAAGGCCCATGGGCCACAGCACAGAGAGGGGAAGTCTGAGACAAGGGGTGGGGGGCAAGGTGATCACACACAGCTCACTCTCAGACAAGGCTGGGTTTCTTTCTTCAGGCCAGGAGCTCTTTTGGAGGGGGAGCCTTGAGGGTGGATGGATTGCCGACACATTTAACACAAGCACACGGTCCAGAGGCTCCCGAGAGAGATGTGTGGCCACGGAGGTGGAGAGAAATGAGCTGTGTTGAAGCCTCAGGGCCAGAGGACCTGATGCTGCTCATGTTCATGGCCTGGGGAGGATGGGTGGGGAGTAACCGACTACAGGTGTCTGTCTGCAGGGCTCACAGGGGCAGCATGAGAAACCAGGGCTACCTCTGCCTGTGAAGGGCTCAAGGTGTCCTGCTTTGGGTACTTAGGTGGATATGGTGAGGGAGACTTGGATTTATGTGTCTAGGCTTCAGGAGAGTCACAGGAGACTTCCCATTGGGATCATCGACATGGTGATGTCACTCGGAGCAACTTAGGAGAAACAAGACAGAGATAGGGCTGAAGATAGGACCACTCATCATTTGGACATTATGCAGGGGAGGAGGGTCCAGCAAAGAAGTGGAGAAGATACTACCTCAGAGGTTGGTGAATATTCAAGTGCAGCCCAGGCAATGCTGAGGCGAGGCAGGATAGTGCCAGGGTAGCAGCAGTGGGATGTGGCCACTTGGTAGGGATTGGTGTTACCAATGAGACTCCATGTAGCAGGGGCCAGAGGCCTGTTAGAGTAGGATTAGGGGAGGCTGTGAGGAGAGGTTGGACTCAGATCCTGATCAACAACCCCAAATACCTTTCCTTTCAGTAATGGGGACCAGGAAAACAAAGCAGTCACTACAGAGGCTATAGAGGTCAAGGAAGAGCTGGGAAAATGTATGTGATTCAAGAGAAATATAGGAAGAGGTATGTGTGGCATGGATCTTGAAGGGCTAGGTATAGATCATAGGGTAGCGAGTGACCTTTATCATGGAGTAGGGACAGTCTAGACATATTAACAAGGGGGGCATCTAGAAGGAGGTGGTTGGTGGCCTGAGGCCTCTAGCTGCTTGTTCCCATTTGCTTCATGATGCTAATGCAGTTTTAGGCAGAGAAGGTAGATAGGGAGGGGAAGGGAGAGGAGAAAGGCTGGGTGCTCTTTGCAGGGCTTGCTAGGGTAACAAGGATTGCTGGGAAATGCACTTCTCTCTTAGAGAGCTGTGGACCCTGCTGTGCAGAGGGCCCAACTCTCATTGTTTTGTGGGTTTTCTCTTTCCGTGCTCACTGGCTTATACATGTGTGGAGCTGGAGGCTGCCTGGCTTTGATGAGAAGACAGGCAGAGGGAGGGGGATCCAGAAAACAAAGACAACAAATTGATGACGCAATCTATTTTTGTCAGCTTTTGTTCCCATACTGAAGTACCGGAGACCAGTTCTGTTTTAGAGGTTAAAATTAAGAACGAGGAAGCAGAGGGGAAGGATGCATGGGGCCAGGCTTGCTCTTTTTAAGACACCTGTTTTGCAAAAACTCAGGCCTCCAAGACAGGTAGCCCATGCCTCCAATGACCTAAGGATGTCCGACTTGGCGCCCCTTAAAGGGCCCACCACTTTACATTAGTGCCACCCTGGAGACCAAACCTTTGTACATGGGCATTTGGGGAGACATTGGCTACTTTCAAGATGGGTAAAGAGTGAAGCAGAGTGAAGGGAGGGGAAGGTGCTGGCAGCAGAGGCAAGGCCGGGGCACTGTATGGGCGGTAGCTGTCATGACCCTGAGCAATGCCTTCAGACTGAGCAGGGCAAATGTTGCTCAGACATCCCAGCATCTGGCCTCTGACCTCTGGCTTGGTCTCTGGCATCTCTTAGCTCCCTCAGAAGGCATGGGGACCAGTCTCTTCTCAAACGTGCTTGACCAGGACAGAAGAGGACAAGCATCTTTTCAGTGGAGGAGGGAAACCAGGCCACCCTCTCTGTATAATGGTGACAGCCTGGCACTACCAGGCTCCCCCTTTCCTTCACCATCCCTCTGAAACAGGCAAGTGAGTCTTCCCAGTTAGCAGATGTGGAAACTAAGGCAAAGAGAGGTGGGGGCTGAGAGGACCCTGAGCTTCTGTCCCTGCATTTCCAACACACGTTTGTGAGTGGATGCGAACCTCCACCGCACCCACAATTCTGGAAGTGGGAACTTGAGTGAGTGTAGACGATGCGGAATCAGATTCGCTGTTAGGGATGCTGGGTTCCATTCCTCGACCCCAGGGACCTTCCACTGCTGTGGGCTTCCTTGACAGTAGCTCCCAGCCTCTGGGATCTGCCTTTCCCCCTGTACTTGTCTACTTCTTTTGCTGCTGACTGAATTTAATTTCCCATCTTGCTATTGGAGTAAGTTAGCTCTGGGGGAGGTACTTTGAGTTCCTGTAAACATTCCATTCCCCATTTGTTTTTATCAGCCTATCTATCTATCTATCTATCTATCTATCTATCTATCTATCATCTATCTATCTATCTATCATCTACCTACCTATCATCTCTAGCTATCACACGTGCATCATCTCTGTATGTCTATCTCTATCATGCATCTTTCATCTGCCATCTCTATCTATCTTCTATTATTTCTGTCTGCGGGCTATCATCTATCTGTTTGTCTGTCCCTCATCTATCATCTTCTTATCATTTCTCTTTATAACTATTCTTCCTTTTACTTACTAGTTTAACACTTTACTGTGCATCCACACTATACGTGGTAGATGCCCCCCAGGCTGTCACTCTTCACCCTGATACTCTGATCATCCCTGATAGGGTCTCTGAGAGCATCTTGAATCTGGCTCCTTGGTCCTTTCTCCTCTTTTCCAGATTCCTGATCTCCCAGTTCCAGCCATTTCAGGCACACATTGCCCTTCATCTGCCTCTATTTTCAATCAGTTCCTTCCCCAGTGTCCTTGAATGGAAGGCAGTCACTAGAAATAAAGAAGGAACTGAACATTCTCCTTAGGTTCAGGGTATCTCTGCAGAGAGCTGGGGACTGAGTATGTATGTGATATACGTGTGTACATATGTGTATGTGTGTGCATGCAAGCAGGTGTATGATATATGCA